ACATTGGACAGAAATGGGCTAAGGCTGTCACCTTGTTTGGTGCTTCCTAGTATCTCTTCCGTATAAATGTCTCCTGCCTTTACTTTAGTCATTTTGTTCATACTGAGACTACTACCTGCTCTTGCGATGGCATCTGGCGTTTTTTTTTTTGTTGTCATTATATTAATAATGTCGGAGAGGCGAACCCTTATTAAATGCCTTGGTCAAATCGATTAAGTAGACCTACGCTGCTGTAATAAATTCGATTGATTTTTCTTTTAGTTGTTTGATAATGAATATGTCGTCGGTCGTGGATTTGTTTCGTCTGGAGATTTGTTGTTCTTCCCTATTTGTTATTTGTGTTCCAAGTCTTTCTTTCAAAATGCTAGTAAAGAGTTTCATGCTTGTTTTAAACAGCGTTATGCCCCCGTAGTTCTCTAGGTGCATCTTCTGTCCTTTCTTGAATATAGGGATAGTTATACTTTTGAGCCATTCCGTAGGTATTTCCGATATTTCTAAAATTTTGTTGTAGAGCATTTTTAGATGTTTTTGTAGCTCAAGTCCGGCGTATTTTAGAAATTTGTTATGGCTTATGGCTTCTTAGGTGTTATAAAGTTTTCTGAAGTATTTTTCCCATACATCTTTGGTTAGTAATCAGTAATCTCGTTGTGTGCGTTTATTTCTTGTATTTATTTGCGGTAAAAATATTAAAATATGTATATCAGTATAAACCGGTTACAAGAGGGGGCAATAATTAACCAACTTCTCAATTATTGAATTTTCTCATTTAAACAAAAAGCACACATCAAAATGGACCCTTCGATGCAGGTATATGAAGCTCACGGCATTGCTTCGCCGAGTTCGGAAATAACTACAGCATTTATTATGCAATTCGTGAATGGTAGACGTCGAAATATACTTACAAAGCCGTACTCCACGATACTCATTACATGGCATTTGATAAAACGGATTACCATTTCCGCATTAATCTAAGTCAGGTGATAATCTAAGGTAATAAAGAGGAGAAATACGAGGTTAGCGCCAAAATTTCCCGGCCGGACATAGATGCAGCTCCAGTATCACGATAAAACTGTATCTTCCTTTAAATATATATCTTAGTAGGCTGCGAAAAAAAAATTGAAGTCTTGCATCAAATAGTTTTTTATTGACAGCATTTTAAACAAGACGTGTTCGAAAAAACGTCGCAAATAATAGAGCAGTCATAGTCATAGTCAAGGTTTAGACAAAAAAAGGGTTAGCACCTAAAATAAAGGCTGGATGATGTGCACTGCCAAAGTTCTCGTTCGTATTCTGTAGTGAAAGAATGGGCAAAAGGTTTTCGAATGAACTGGTCTACCTGTGGAGGTCATAACGGAAGATATTGTTGCGATTGGGGAAGACGTGGTATTGAGTGATCGACGTTTAAAGGTCAAGTAAATCTCAGAAATCATGATCATTTAGGTATGCATAAGGTTAGTGCAAGATGGGTTCCTAAAAACCTTTCGGCTATTCAAAAACAACGCCGTGTCGAGTGTGCGCGGTCTTTTTTGGAACTCTGTTGGTCGGAACCGAAGTCTGTGATGGAAACTATTGTGACGGGAGATGAAACTATGGTTCTCTCATGGAGTGGCGTCGTAAGGGTGAAGCAGCTCCAAGAAAATTCAGAGTTTGCCAGTCAACAAAAAAGGTGATGGCCATTATCTTTTGCGATTGTGAAGGAATTCCTTTAATATATTTTAAAGAAGCTAAAACTACTGTCAATGGTAAATATTACGCAACATAATTACATAAATTGCGAGACTGCATATGTGTAAAACGTCGATGAAAACTGACTATATCCACGATAATGCACCTGTCCATAGTGCTGGTGTTACACAAGCTGCCATTTTAGAGTGTGGGTTCCAACAGATAGATCATCCTCCCTATAGTCCAGATATGACCCCCATTAACTATTATTTGTTTGGATATTTGAAAAAGGAATTACCTGGACGGCGGTTTAACGACAAAGTTGAGTTAAAAGAGGCTGTTTTAGCTCATTTTGCAGACAAATCAAAAGAATATTTTTGGGTTGTTAATAAAGAGATGTAATAAGTGTATTGAAGTTAAGGGGGACTTTATTGAAAAATAATAAAAAATTGTTTGTTTCTTTCATATTCAGGCCGGGAAATTTTGGCGCTGCCCTCGTGACTTCCATAAAGAAGTTATTCAAAGCAAGTAAAGTTATACTCGATGGAAATTTCAGTGATGTATTTAAAATATTTTCTTTCTTCAATCAGTAAACAATGAAATGTACTTATCTAGGTAATACTGTTTTTAGTAGTATTCTAGTGTAACATACTTGTCTGGTTGACGTACTATGCCCTCTTGTCCTTAAAAAAAAAAAGTATTTTCCGGTGCGAACAGGTATTTATTCGTTCGAGGAGGTCGTAAAAAAACCGACTGGCGGGCGTTGCCAACCCCAAATCGTAACTTACTGCAAGCGCTTCTTATCGCGTCGGATTCGGTTAAGCTATGACCGGTCTCGTTACACCACCACAATTTCACCCTTCTCGATTTCCGGATTCAATAATAAATTTTCGGCACGTGTTCAAGCACGTGAAAGGATCTTTACCTGGCCAGAACCAATGTTTTAACGGTCAGTTGAATCTGCGGCCAGTGGCGTACACAATAAAAGTCAATACACACTTAAAATTCTATCTTCTTTTGCTTCCTGGACTTTAGGTTATAATATTTGAATTTATATTACTTTTCATATTCGTGATGATGTCACGTAAGAACTGAATTCACAGTCCTCAAACAATACAAATTGAAAAAATCATAAGAATATTAACGCTTGAGGATTTTGAATATTTTCCTTTGATTTTCCAAATTATAAGGTATGAATCATGAACGGAAAGATTGTGAAAATTAAAGAAAATTGCTCATATCAGATCATATCGATTTTAATGTTCTCTTAATTTCTGAAATGCGTTTCGGTTTCTTTATTAAAGCCTTACCTCGGATCTTTAAATCATTTTCTTTAACATTTAAAAAAATATTTTTGTCGATTTTAAAGCGACAATCGTGAACAGAAAGATTGTGAAAATTAAAAAAAAAAATACTTATAACACATCGATTCCAAAGTTCATTCGATTTCTTCGAGGTAACGGACTTCCTCTTCCGGTGTATATTTGTTCTACACCACTGCGTAGGCGTATTCAACCGATACTGAAACGCGTTTCGGCTTCTTCATTAGGACCCAAAAGGACATTTCGAGCGCCAGCGGGCCCAAAATGTCGTTAAATTAGGGGCACGGTTAGCTCCAAGTTACCAGGTGTATGATTTTCGCCCGGTATTCGGGAGGTCTTTAAGGTCTCCCCCTACGTCCGATTTACAGTTTAGTAGATGGAAATGTAATTACGGCCACGAGCAGGTTTAAACCGGAAAAGGGACAAATTATTAGGGGAACGTTCTATCGGTGATTTCGTCGGCAATATTCATTTACATCGGAGGGGAAGAGAAGATTTATTTTAATACGCACTTGCGTGACCATTGCTGATTGTATTCTAGTTTTTATCGGTTAACAAAAATGTCATTTGCGAGCATAAAGGACGATCATCAAAATAAAGCCGGCGTCAATTTCAAACCTCATTGGACGTTTTTTGGCCTTCAGATTTGTAATAAGCTTTAATGCAGCTACATTTGTTGTCTACTGAAATTATACTGTTGCTTCATTCTTCCTGAACATTTTCGATTTGTTTTTAATCGCAAAAATATCTCTTCTATCGAGATGCACAGTTCCAACACGTACAAAGTTTTGAATTTGCTTCTAACCAAATGTAACGATTTTTTAGAAATAGCTTTGTACAGTAACGGTTGAATTCTCCAACGGAACTCTCCGATCATTCAATGGAACTAATATTATAATGCGTAGATGTCAGGAATATTAATGATGTTTATCAGTAATTAACGATGGTCAGGTTTGGACTTGACTGGTTAGAATTACCACTACAGCCGAATTTCAGATTTGTTCGTGAAATTATTGGTTAATTTTCATCCAAACTATTATTAGAATAATAATAAGAATAATAGTAACAGGTCCAAATTTATATATCTATAAACATTAAATAATAAAAAAGAATTAGATAGGAGAGCGGCGAGATCTAGCAAAGCTACTCACCTAACCACCTTAAATAAAGAGATTCTATGGATTAACGTACATCAACTTGATTAAGTCACTATGAAAGCGGGGTTATAAAAATTCATTACACATTTTAACAAAAAAAAAAAACTCAAATACATTTTTTAGTTTGTCACTTCCATGGAACTGGAGGTGCAGCAAGGAACTACAGAAGAAAGCAAAATAATGGCAGTGTTAGCACACAGCGGTTCGAAAACTCAGGTACGCAAGAGGACTGTAAGATTGCTGGAATTTAATTACTCCCTGTGTACAACATTATGACCGAAAAGATAATTCCGTAGGTAATTGCGCAACACACAACGGCGATAACCGAAACAGAATTGCTGCTGATGTTCTGCTTCTGGGGCCCCAGGTCTCCAAAACTAAGGAGTTAACCACTAACTTCACTTCTCGAACTGTATAAGATTTAATGTTCTTCGCAAGGTGTCAAAAAGGCAGGAGAGAGTTCAAAAATTTCGGCGATAACAGGTCGTACTCAAATTTTTCGCGCAATCGCAGTATAGTACCCTGAACGTTGGATAGCAGTCGTGTGTTTTAAATATAATTAACAATAATTTCATTTACTTTGTTACGTGTACGCTAACAGGGAGCGTTCGAGCAGCACTTGCTGTCATCCGGAATGGAGTTGAAACATTTAGTGACGTTATATCCGACAGAACATTGATTCGAATAACTTCTCAACAATCGAAGTAATTAAAAAAAAAATGCCAATAATTATCTTATCATTATCTTAATTCCACAAATCCTATCCGATTTACCTATGAAGAACTCGCAGGAATTTGTGATATGTTTAGGCACGTTGCCCGTTAAAAACCATTTAAAAGATTTTTTTTTATTTCAGATTGGAAGCTTAAAGGGTTATTATCTATTCGAACACAAGAAGGTCCACAAGAGGTCCATACAAGCCAATGATCATCTGCACGAGTCATTGATATCGGAACCACAGGTGAGCGTTGATTCTCCTGTTATTGTATTGCATTTTTGTAAATGAAAAATACCATTGAATAGAAGAGTGGTGACAATTGAACTTCAAATCAATTAGTCTGAAAGATGATGAAGTTTTTGTTATTTTCGATCCCTCATTAATATTTTCATTTCTAGCTCAGCTCTATATGCATGCCCTAAAACAAAACCTTAAGTAATTCTTGTAACATGTTGAATGTGTCGTGTATTAAATCTCTCTAGCTCAGCTCTATATGCATGCCCTAAAACAAAACCTTAAGTAATTCTTGTAACATGTTGAATGTGTCGTGTATTAAATCGCCAAATACGCACGTAAATATTTCACCGTCCCCGCCCTAATTGGAAATTCTATCGTTAATCTTTCGTTCTCGCCGGATCCGGTTTTTCGTTTTAAGTAAACGAAACAAGGTACTCAAATCTTTTAATTTTCGTTGTTTGCGAAACTCCGTATTGGATAAACAACCGTCTTCTTCGACGCGGCATTAAAAACGGGTCCCCGGCTTGACAAAATTTTCCCCGAACGGTGTAGGGGAGGGAATTAAACAGATAATGGTATGGAAAACAACTCTTTCCACCTAATCTTTAACGCTCCGTCGAGTTTGTGCCAGTTTTTTTTTCCTCTTTTCGGCTCGTCTAATGAACTAAAGGGGACTCGGGAGCGACGGCGAATTTTACTCTCTGTTCGTTCAAGTTTAATGAGAGAAATGAAGTGGTATTCTTTTGTGCCGAAGTGATTCGTTTGCAAGTGAAATTTTTTCGGTACTCGGCATGAGCGGGGCGCCGCTTCACCGACATTCTTCCTCGTCCGTAAATATTTTAGGAGAAATACAAATTTCACAATTAACCGACGCTAACCATAGAGCACAACTGCAGTTTTTTAAACGTGTACGTCCAAATATTTACGCTTGGAATGCCCGACATCGAGCAACTGGACTGTTCTAAAAAAAAGATGTTCAAATACTTGGCATCATAAATTTCAGTAATCCCATAGTTTTTTCTTTTTACCTTTTGCATATTAATAAAAATATTAAAATATCTGAAATTGGTATATCAAAGAGAACATTATCATCAGAACATCTACCAATCATACGCCAGAATAAGTTCGTAGTCGCACCGCGCATTTGACATTGGTTGAACTAGGTTATGCAATATATTTGAAACTACATGTATAAACTTGCAGGGTCTTTATTTTGTCATGTTTCTTCAACTGTCACCACGCTATGATACATAAAGCGCTGGTGAAGAGATGAACACAGGCACAGACATAACAGAACCTGAATAAAATTTGTTAGTGTGCTGACATGCTTGTAAGGGAATGAATAAATGTGTATTTGATGTTTTATTCTTCGAATGATTATTAATAAATAATTAAATATTATTTATCTACCGTCGTAGCACTAGAATAGTTCTGGAATTCGTCTTCTCACATGTTAAATAAAATTCGTTAATATGGAGAAAGAAAGAAAAAAGTTCATGTTTGTTTTATCGATTTTATAATTCGACTTTGTCGCAGTAGAATATTTCTACATTCGTTGTCTCGTAGACTTAGACTGAACAAAAACGGTTAGCGTGCTGACATGTAAGAGAGGGAAAGAAAAAAGTTTATTTGAGATCTCGTTTATTAAACTTTATTTGACAAAATCCCCAGCATGATTAAATAACATTGATCGACTATCATGTTTGTTTTTTCTATTTTAAAATTCAACTTTGTTGCAGTAAAGTATTCCGTTCTGACATGCTTAAGAGGGAAATAAAAAATAAAAGATAAAATGTAAGCCTAATTAAAATCGCTATATTTGCTCATCGACTTTGAAATTCGACTCCGTTGCAGTAGAACATTTCTACATTCGTTATCTCGCGGATAGTTAGACTAAATAAAGGGGCCAGTGGGCTGACATCCTTCAGAGAGAAGGAGAGAAGCTGATTTGAGATCTCTTCGGTCACACTTTTTTACATGTAATCCCAGTAGAATGCACGACCATCATATTTGTTTTAAAATTTTAAAATTCCATTTCATCCCAGTAGAATAGTTCAACATGCGTTGCCTCGCAGACCTAACGTAGACTGGACAAAAAATGGTTGGTGTGCTGACATACTAGAGATGGAAACAGAAAGTGTGAGGTCTGGTTGAGCAAACTTTTATGGATTAAATGCCACCATAAGTAAATGTTGAACATCAATCACCATCTTTGCTTCATCGATTTTTAAATTCGACTTCGTCTAACTCGCTTAAGAGGGAAAGAAAAAAATGCTTGAGGCTTGATTTTTCTAACTTCATTAGATAAAATCTCAGCCTAATTAAAATGGTTATATTTGCTTATCGATCTTGAAATTCGACTTGGTTGTAGTAGAATATTTCTATATTCGTGGTCTGGCATACTTAACTGACACTCAATTGAATTCTTTTTTTAAATTACATTAACTCAATACATAATCGTATAAAATTCACTAGATTAAACAAGATAACTCGCTTAATTTTTTAGACTTAACTATTACGAAAGTGCAAAACAAATTAGATATTTCAATATATCATAAACCTTCACACACGGACACAGTCATACATAACAGCTAAAATCACCCTTATACACAGAAAATGGATGCATTTAACTCTTTTATACACAGACTTCTTAATACGCCACTCTCAACAGAAAATTACAACAAAGAACTTAATATCATTAAACAAATAGCACTGAACAACGGCTACAATCCGTCCATTATAGATAAAATTATAAATAAAAAACAAATACAACAATACAACAGTAAACTCTATTTAACCCAAACCAAATACAGAGCACGAACAATTTAAAACAATTACATGCATAGGAGAACCTAGCGAAAAAGTTTCAAAACATTTGTCAAAATGTGGTTTAAAAATAGCTTTCAGAACTAACAACACAATAGGAAAATATTTAAATAACAATAAATCGAAATGTCCAAAATCCCAAAAAATTAGGTGTCTACAGGTTGAAATGTGGATCTTGTCCTAAAATTTATAGTGGACAAACAGGTAGATTCTTCAAGAAACGCATTAACGAACATATAAGAGTGTTTAAAAATAATAGTCTAGATTCTAATTATGCTACACACTTAAACACAGAAAAACACATTTTTGACGACAATTTTGATATATTACACACAGCCACAAAAGGTAGAAAATTAAATTTATTGGAAGCCATGGAGATTAACAAAATGAGACATTCAAATGTATTGCTTAACGATCAATTAGATTTAAATACCTCTTCTTTATCGAACTTAAATTCTCGCAACAACATTAATTAAGGTTTTATGGTCATTTTTCGGTATATATAGTAGCAGATAGTTTGATAGATCGATATAACATAGGCTGAACAAAAAGGTGCTTAATTTGCTAGAAATGGAAAGAAAAAAAAGTTTATTTCAAGTTTGGTTTTTCAAACTTTATTAGATACCAGCATAATTAAATGTCATCCATCAATCCCTATAATTGCTTCGTCGATTTTTAAATTCGACTTCGTCGCAGTAAAATACTTGTACAATCGTCTCTTTCGTGATTACTTTTTCCTGGACGTATGCTTAATTGACGCATCGCTTCCGGAAGTATACCAAAATGTTGGGCAAACTTTCCTCCGAGCGACGGTTTTTGTTATGGGAAATTCTAAAAAGGAAAAAAATCAATTAGAGCTCGGATAAATACGGGGCGGTAATTTAACGAAGTTCCTCCGTTGAAATGTTATTAATCCAAGTTCGGTAAACTTTCCGCAAACACGTATTGTAGTTTAAAATTCATTGCGCGGTTTTGATATAAATTCCCCGTCGCTTTCAAGTGATAAAGTTAAAAACTGAATCAAACTTTTTGATTGGGAACTTTTATCAAGTTCCGCGGCATAATTAGCCGCCCGGTGGGAGGAAAAAAAAAACGGCGATCGAAGCCTCTAATAAATTAATTCAATTTCCGAAGTAACGAAAATCCTAATTAAATTTGGAAGACGTCTCGGGGTATCGATTTTCGAAAAATATTATTCCCTCAAGTAGTTTCTTATATCCGTGCTCTATTTAAAAAAAAGCGCGACTTCATGTTATATTTGGTTACTTTCGAATTTTTCGAAAGTATCTACGCTCTTATAAAAATTTTATATCTCGGTAACGCTAGGTCATTGGTACAGAAATGATCAGCGACGACAATTTTTTTTTGTCTGTCCGTTCTCCGTTCTCTGTTCCATGACATTTTCGACAATAACTTCGGTTTTGCTCCTTTTTAAAAGTTCATGGTCCAAGAAATATGAAAATGGCCGCGCTCTGACATCGGCGGCCATCTTTTGTTTTTCAATTTTCGACACTTTTCTGAACATCGCTTTGAATCACAATAAGTATCCGAAATATGAAGCTATCTATCGACTTCAAATTTTTCAGGCGGTAAGCGTTTGGTCCTCTCACGGAACCTGAAGTATTTTAAAAAAATTAAAAATCGCGTTTGCAAAGGTCCAAGAGAATCGTAAACCGGTTACGCTACCGAAAAAAATCTTGAACGGAAATACGCAGAAGGTTTGGCTTCAAAAACTGGAAAATGGGTACCCCCATTATTGAAAAGAGACTATAACTAAAAGACCGTGTTTCGCATATCAGTTTCAGCTAAAACTTTTGTAAAACTGTTGTACAGGTTGTTCAATATATTAAGTGCTATATTCAAAAACTAACATGTGTCCTAAATTTGCAGCTATCTACAGATTTGGCAGAAAGGTAGAAGTCCACACCCGTATTTCATCTGTTAAAAAAGGATTTACTCAAATCTCGCGAAGTATATTTTAAAATTTTTTAATTTTTTTTTATATATATTTTCGCTTCCAGAAAAAAATCATTTTCTCGCAAACTGTTAACCCGAACCAGAAAATGCGGGAGATCCGTGACCATAACTTTTTTTATACAGGGTTTTTCAATTATAGACAAAAATTATTTGTTGGCAATATCAGGTATTTTGTTATATACTAGCAAAAAACTTGACTACTA